ATTGGGTCGTTCTTATGCAACAAATGATTTGTGTTAATATGCAATTCAAGATCTCTGTATTGTATTTAAATAACAACAATGATAATACGACAAGTGAATCATTAGAGCATATGTCCTCATTAGAATTCAATGAATAATTTACTGCTGATACAGAACAATTAGAATTATTTGAGGTAAACATGATAAAAAACAACTAGCTCTCTACACAATTCACATCTAGGCTGATTGTCACATTTTCTAGGTCACTAGTTTCAAAAGATATGCTGTTTTTTTCACAACGTTTCTGAAACAATTAGGTTTGACTTATGACACTTCATTCTGAGAGAATTTTCACAATTCAAAGATTTCCTCAGTTTTTCTGTTATCAGGACCTTCAATAGATTGATATATTTTTTTGTCCGACGTTTTCTGTTTTAGAAAAACTAGTATTCAACCTGTGGAAAGTGAAATAGTCGATATTCTTCGAAATAAAAAATTTTTCGAAATCAACTTTTGATAACGACGACATCGAGTTTAGCCTTCGCGTCAGCATCATCATCAATCGCAATTACAGCGGTATCAACCAATGTTGGATCAAAATCGATAAAAATTAATCAATTATTGCTTGCATATGGAGAATCTCACCTTACTAATGATAACAAGATTAAAAGTAAATGATAAACAATAAATAAAGAATGAAGTACATATAAAAAGTTTGTTATGGGCTTCTACAATCATAAAACGCTCATAGTGACTACATGAATAAATCTCGAGCAAAAATACAATACTGACTTTGCAATTTTATCACAGCTTGTTACGATCTATCATTACGTGTGATACCAGTATTTTGTCAATAGCAACCTTTTCAATTTCAGCATACATAGGTCATAAAGAAAGAGTACATTTAAATAGTGATAATTTAAGTTTCATGGTATCCTTAAATTTTTAAATCATATCAAATTATGACAATGATTTTTATGAACAAACAAATATTTTAATTTTGATCTGAAATTTTCACTTATAAAGTATACTGTTATTTTTGTTATGTTTTCTAGTTTTAACTTTTAAATATTTGAAGTTTTTCTTGGTCTTAGAGAACACTTGTATGCCTATATAAAAATGTTGTTCTTCGCGTTCTTTTTATACAATGTATTTTGTTTTATTGTTAAACATGCACTTCGTACTAAAATTGAACATAGACGATTAACACATTCTGTAGATGCATGGTTATGAAACTTCTCTGTGCTTCATACTAAAAATTATACATTTTGCAGAAACATTGATGCATAAATTATAGTAACACGGGAACATTCCAACTGTCACATCGCTTTTGTGTCGACTGTATGCGCATCATGTAGGCCCTAATGATCTATGAATACTCTGAAAAAAGTTTGTGCCGCTAGCTTATTACTGCTGAGATATTGTATGTTTACTGTATGTTTAAGAAAAAAAGTCGTGGTTCCCTCAGGAACACTAGAAAAACTAAGTTTCGAATATCGACTTGAAACTGTGCATAGAGATAGGCCTTAGTGAGAATAGTTTAATGTGAAAGTTTCAGATGTTTTCATTGTTCCTATCCTAAGATACAGTTATGGTAAAATAGCTTATATACACCAACAGATTCAGATGTTCTTATTTCAGACTAGGAGCAATCAAAGAATATGAAACTTTCATAATATACTATTCTCATTGAGACCTGTCCCTGTACAAAGTTTCAAGTTGAAATTCGAAACTCAGTTTTCCTAGTGTTCCTGAGGAGATCACGGCTTTTCGCTTATAAATACAGTAAAAATGTGATATCTCGGCAGTAATAAGCTAGCGGTACGAACTTTTTTTTAGAGTATTCATAGATCATTAGGGTCTACATGATGCGCATACGCTCGACTCAAAAGCGATGTGACAGTTGGGAATGTTTCCTCGTTAATTATACGTAGTTTTGTAGAGAATTTCAAGCACTACATTTTGATAAAAAGAAGCATTTTGATAGAACCGAGAATAGAGGAGAAAATTCAAAAATACTAATCGGACAGGTGAAGAAGAGACTCGTTACTATGATGGGAAGTAGCACTTTTTCGAGATGTTTCATTTTAACTATAGGAAAAATCATCCCAACATCTGAGTAGGAATTTGGTCCGGCATTTCTTGTAGAGCTTCTCACGGTACATCTTTTAAAAATAAATTTAAGATTTTTCTCATTTGTCCATGCTGAGATATATGCAAAATAAAAAGTATGCAAACATTTTGGAACACTCAGTATTTGTTCTCATCTTTTGTTGCAATGCAATTCAATTCAACGTAATTCAACAAGAAGATGTTAATAAATCAACTCTGAAAAAAATTTACTAAATATTGTTTCTGTTTTATAATCTTATTGTACTTGTATAGATTCGATCATAAGTTATAAAAATACATTTCATGAAATGTTTCTACAATTCTTGCCGTAGACTTAGAGTATTTTCTATTTTGCTTGAATAAGATAGAAATAAAATGCAACCCGTATGATGAGTATCTCAAGAATGTGCTAGTAACTGAAACATGAGTTATTCTATAGATAGATTCATTCAATCAATTATATATTATAGTATAGTTGTGTTATACACTTTGCAAAATTCGATTTTGTCGAAAGATATTTTTTCACTGCGTGATGTTCTGTTTTACTTTGAAATGTGAGGATGTGACCGATTTTTTTTCACCCACACTCACATCCTATTAGATTTCAAACAAATAGATATCGATACAGAATTCAATGATATGACTCTCTCTCACGTAAATGATTTAAAATATGAATATAAGAATGAGAAGAATAATATGTCAGCTAATAATTATTTGAATATCAGTAAAATATTTGATTAAAGTGAACGTTATTTTAGTTCTGAATAATTCTTTTATGATTATATTTTATTTCATGATTATTTAATAAAATCATAGAATTTTATAATATCGTGTTAGTAAAAATTTTTATTACTTACACTAAATATAGTTGCAAAACCTGAGATAGTGGGTCATTGAATGATTTCTTTTTGTAGATAAGTATCTCCTTTCTCAAGAGGTAATTTTAAATAATGAATGAAGAATTATCTCTGCCACTGTTCAATCAAAAAGAATCTCTCATTCTGTATACGATTTATATAAACAAAACATAAATCTTTCTTGATATAAATAAATATGAACTTGATTAATCTTTGCTAGCTTTTTACTAATCGTGATGAAACTTGTCAAATATTTTTTAATTGTACAATTACTCATTTAAATCAACATAAATATTCTATACTCCGATTAAAATACTAATTAAATACAAAAATAGACAAGAAGTGGTTACAATGGCAGTGTCAAATGATTATGGTCATTTGATAGAAAACAATTATTGGATTAAGATCCGCACAAAAGAAGTTAACTTTCGTCAAAGAAATCGGAATTAAAATAAATCCATGGAAAAATGAGTCGTCCGAGATCTAATCTTTCATAGACGACATAATTTTTATTTGACACCTCGTTTGTTAGCAAAAGTTTTGATGATTTCCGCTAACTTCTGCTTGAAAAATATGCTTTTTTTCAGAAAGCTTTTCTATTACTATATAAAAGAGGACTTCTATAACTAGATGACCATTTTTTGAGAGTTTTTTCCGCATAGAAAGTAATGATAATATGGGATTGTTAATTGAGCTATTATTGATTCTTATTTATTGAATATTTCCAAAAAAAATATTGTGATACAGGATTGAAAATTTTAGCATAGCCTTTCCACTACAGTTCCAACATGTCCTACAAATTTCATGCGATTTGAATGCACCTAGTCTAAGATCGATTTTCTAGAAGAGTGGGCCTTAACGAAATGCATTCTCTTTTGTATTCAATAAAAATTTTGCGTCTAAAAAACAAAACAAAAGGAAGAATATCAAAATATTAATGTCTATGTATAATAGCCACTAAGATCCATGGCAGTTGATTTTGTTTGAGGTGTTACTTTTGATGGATCAGGTGGTTGACGAAGAGATTTATATTGTTGTTTATTACCTCCTCCAAGTTGAAATCGATCACGAATCTGTAATTTTTGTGTGTGATCTAAACCAGTGAATGTTGGATAAAATTTATTACATTTGATTCCATTTATATCATAATCATATTGAATTGATCGAGCATGTTCTTGACGATTATTTCTATTATTTATTTCTTTTTGTGCATATTCACAAGATAATTGATGACCACGTAGAACATAACCATTTTCAAATGTTTTTAAACATGACGGAAAACCAATACATTGGTAACGCATGATGTATGGAAGAGTATTTTCTTTCTAT